TTTATTTTTTAAAATTTGTTTTTTGAATCGTCACGTATGATAGGCAGTTTTCTGACGGTTTCTTGGATTAACTGTTTAGAAAACTGAGATTTTATATACAAAAACAAATATTCCATATCTTCTGGTTTCTTCTCCATTCAGTTCTCTTTTCTTTTTGTTTTTTTTTTTCAATTTCAATGACTCGTACAAGTTCGAATATTGGAAGAGATGGCGAAGGTATGAACAACTTTAAAAAATTAAAAGCTGATGATGCTATTAGTCCTTTCAGTGTCAACCGAAAAAATGGGGATGCCGACATCAAAGGGAAGAAGAAGATTTTCGCATCCTCCTCAGATGATGTGTCCGATTCTAAGTTCTCCGACGATTATAGTGGTTCTCATTATCTTCAATCCGAAGATGATTTTAAAGATTGGATGATCATTATCTTCACACAACCTGAAGATTTACCTCCATTGGATAATATTTTATTTAATATGGTATTTGTCATATTTATATCTCTACATTCTGTACATATACATTATCTATTTTTTTAATTTTTTTTAATAAATGCTTTCTTGCTAGCCTGTTGTTGTTCCTCCGAAAGTAACGACACGTAATTCGCTGAAACTGTCTTTTCAAGTTACTGGTAATTCTAAAGTTGAAGGTGCACCAGCTAAGCTGCCAATACCGTACACTGGTAGAAAAAAAATCAATTATGAATCATTTCCATTTGATGTTCCTTTCTGGGAAGATTATAACCCAATTGTAAGTGACTTCGAAGATTGGTTACAGATTGGTTTGTACATAAAACCAAAAAAATCAGAGTCTGGGTAATTTTTTCTCTCTCTACTTTTTTTTTTCCCTTACAAATTATTTTCTTTCGCATATTTAAAATTAATTGTAACCAATCTGTAAAAATCTTTTTATGCAGTACTCTGTTTTACTATAAAAAATCTTCAAGAATATTGAGGCAAGAATTTGATTTCAATGTTACGACAATTGATCAAAAAGATTGGTTCTTGAAGCTTGCCATGTGTCATACTTTCTTCGAATCCACG